GAGGGGAAAGAGACGGAGGAGGAGGAAAAGGAGGAGGAAGAAGAAGAAGAAGGGAAAGATGAAGAGAAAGCGGTGGAGGGGGAGGGGAAAGGGAAATGGGTAGTGGAAGAGGAGAAGAATGACCAAGGACAGGAGAAAGAGGGAGAGCAGAAGCAGCCTGAGGCCAAGGTGGTGACCAACCCAGCCGGTGATGAGGACAGTACCGCTTTCAGGGTATTTCATCATGATAACAACAGCAGCGGAGATGAGGCGGATGATGATGATTCTGATAAGAAGAGGGAGAAGGCGGGACAGGAAGATTACGAAGAACTGAGCTTGGAGGAGGACAGTAATGCTGACACAGACGTGGACTTCTCCAGCGAGGGCAAGGAGTTGCAGCTGTATGTAACCATTACCAGCTCGGAGATAGATGACATTGCTATGCCCTTTAGAGCCAGCAACGCGATGCACCGAGCCCTGGCAGAAGCCTACAAGATGTACGTAGAAAGCAGGGCTCGAGGACGGGTTTTTTTCACCCTAGGAGGAGAAAGAAGGTATGAGTCATTATCACCAAGGATGAGCCCCTGGCCAGATCGAGCTACAAAACCACCGCTGGCACCCATGGTGAATGTTTTCCGGCTGGTGCAGCGCTGCCTGAATAAGGCAACTGCCCGCCGAAAGAAACGGCGGCGGCCTCGATCGTCCAGTCAACAATGCTCACGGAATAATAGTCAAAGCCGCCGTTCGGGGCGTGTCATTAAGCAGACCTACCGCCCACTGCGACTGAGTTCTCGCCACCCGCTGCGACGCGTACTGCAGTACTTGAGCAGTCAGCAAGATCGCCGAATATTTGCAATTGAGAACCAGATTGATGGACGCATGCTGCTGGATGAGGACAGGGTCTACTTTGTGCATGGGCTGCCCTGCCTGCTACTGCGAGTGATGGCACCGAGTTTTGCAGACATACGGCGCGGTCTGACCATGCTTGAAGAGAGTATGCCCCGGCTCTACACCAGACTGCTTGTGGCTGATCGCCTGCCGATTATGCAGGGGACCAGAGCGCCCACCAAGAACAACTTCACCAAGTGTGGCTGGTACCAGAATCGTATCAAGGAGTCCGCCTTCGTCGCCTCAATGCACTACTTTGGCATAACTGAATCAGGTTTCCGTGTGAATGAGGCTCGCTGGGATTGTCCAGGCAAGCGCTGCAGGGATGTTGAGCTATACGCGCAGGGTGATCCCGCTTATGCGACAGATTTGTGTCTAATACAATCACGCGATTTACTTTTCACCAGGTGGAACCAGTTTATTTTTTAGTTAGCCACGCGAAGAGGAATCATCATTCCAGCATTCCAACGCATTACTTTATTTTAATAAAATTATGTCTACTGAAAAGCATAAGTAGAAAGTTACACAATAAAGAAGAACGTGCACCGGTGCAGGTTTACATAACACCAGAATGGCGACGCGTGTTGATGTGGGGTA